GACCATCCCCCCTGGGGGGTGATTTCTCGCTTTCTGTCTCTATGTCTCTCTCTGTCTGTCTGGCGAGCGCACGCGCCCTATAGTGAAAATCTCTCCAAAAAAAAAATAGTGATAACATATAAAATTAAATATATAATTCTTTTCAAGGAGAAAGAGACTTTTGCTCTAGGGCCTGTACGCTCACCGGAAAGACAGAAACAGTGAGACAGAAAGTGAGAAATCACTCCCCCCGGGGGAGATGGCCATGCCGTATCCCACCTCCTCCAGTCTCCTGTTGGGATTTTGGGCTTGCATGTACACAAACCCAGTATGAGTTTTAAACCACCGGGTCCAGGATTTGAATCATGGTCGACCACGTAGGAGTCCAGTAATGTAACAATTACACCATCTGCTGATCTCAATAAGTTTTTAAAACTTCTGCTGTCTGTTTTCTCACACTGTACACGAAAATAAAATCAAACCAATTAAACACTTGTATGTTACACTTGAAATATTAAAATACTAGAAGAAAACATAACAGAAAAGCTTCTTAACATTGGTATGGGTAACAATTTATTTGGATATGACTAACAGTATTGGCAAATGAAAGCTAATATATATAAATAGGATTAAATCAAGCCAAACTTTTCTTCAAAGCACGGGAAACAATGAACAGAGTGAAAGACAACCTACAGAATGTGAAAAAAAAAAGTGCAAACCACACATCTGGTAAGAGTTAATATTCAAAATGTATAAAAATCTCAGGTCACTCAAGGGCAAGAAAACAAATAATTCATTTTGAAAAGGTACAGGACTTGAACACAAATTTCTCAAAATAAGATATTTTCACTGGCGAGCCTATGGTGAAAAACGAACTCTCCTACACTGTTGGCGGAAGTGTAAATTAGCGCAGCATCACTAATCATTAGAGAAATGCAAATGAAAGCACGAAGAGATATCACATCATTTCTGTTAGGATGGCTACTATCTAAGAGAAAAGATAAAAAGTGTTGACATTCGTATGTAGAAAAGAACCTTGTACACTGATGGTGAGGATGTCAATTTGTACCAACTTTATGGAAAGAAGGATTGTTACTCTAAAAATAACTGATAGTAACTACCTTATGATCCTGCCATCCCATTTGCAAGTATATATTCACACACAAAAAAATAAATGAAATCAGTTATCTTAGAATACTATCTCCACTCTCATGTGCATTGCACCATTATTCACAATAGCCAGAATAGGAAATTGAGTGGTTTTCTTAATGGTAAGGATAGGAATATATGAGTGCAATACATAGATTATTCTGGCCTTAGAGAAGAAGGAAATCCTGGCGTGTTCAACAACATGGCTGAACCTAGGGGACTTTATGATATGTTTAGGAAGCCAGACACAGAGACACATACTGCATGATCTCAGTTTATGTGGAATCAGACACATTTTAAACTCATAAAAGCAGGGAGTAGAACAGTGGTGGCCAAGACCTGGTAGTGGGGAGCAGTAGGGAGATGAGGGCAAAGAGTACCTAATTTCAGTTTGACAGAAGAGGAAAGTTCTGGAAATGTAATGTGCAGCATGGTGACTACAACTAACAATAACAGCTTGCATATTTCAAAATTTCTAACAGAGTAAACATCAGATGTTCTCTCCTTTGAGCAAATATTGCCGGATATGAAGCCATCTTTTGGTGATTTTAGTGTGCGTTCCCAGTGTAGCGGTGCTGATAGTTATGTGAGGTAATGCAGGTGTTACCTAGACTGAGTACTCCTCCACAATGCACACGTTTTAAAACATGTGTAAAATAGTATTGTATATCATAAGTATATATAATTTTTATTTGTCATTTAAAATAATAATAAATACATTTATGAATGTCCACAAAAATCCAATTGTACATTGTAAGTATATATACATACACACAGAAACACACATATTAAAGTTGTTTGCTGTAGTATGCACACACCTACTGAATAGAAAGTGAGAGAGCGAGCGAGCAAGAGAGTGCAAATAAGAAATCATGCCCCAGAGCAATGGCCACGCTGCAATTCCTTTGCCACTATGGATTTGGGCATGCACACACACATGTATCTAGCGTGTTTTTCAAGCCACTGGGACCAGAATTTAAATGGTGCAGTTGACTGTGTGGGATTCAGCCATCTTAACTTCTGTGCAACCTACTCTCTCTCACATACATATTTTTTATTCATCAATTATACTTCAATTAGCTGGAAATATTGCTCTAAAAGTACAAAGTGAATTGCAAGAAATCATGAGAATTAGTAAACCAGCAAAGAAAAACGGAGCTGCTATTGTCAAGATCGCCAATGACAACAGTATCTCCATGTGACCTTTCTTTATCTGTACTCACCCCTTTCGTCCCTCATCCTGTGTCGTAACCACACCAGCTCTGTGTTGTAACATCTCCACCCTGGACCCTCTCCTGATCACTAGATATTTGTATTACACTGTCTTCCTGACATCCCCATCTGATGTCAAAGAGCTTCCCAAAAGGGGTACCCTCCCTCCATACTCTTCTCCACGGAACACTCCAGGCTTCTAGCTGCTTTTGAGAAAGTTCGGGCCTCTGCCTTGCTTCTCCATTTCCCTAGCTAACCATGTCCTTTAGGAACACTGTGAGCCTGACCTTGCACACACACCCAAGTGCACACGCTCACCCAGCTCTGCTTCTGCTCAAACCCCCACCCTCGTCCTGGAGGGCCCAGCAGGCCCGGCCCAGTCTCAGCATCTGACGAGGACCCTCTCTAGCCTGTGCTGAACACAGCAGCCTTGGGATCCTATTACGCAAGAATCCAGCCCTGTGTGCCCTCCTCACACCTTCAGCTCTGGCAATGGCCTTTGAGGCCCCACAGGCTGCACTGTCCTCCCAGTCCCCCCTGCGGGCCTCCCTCTGCTCAGACACAGGCCTCTTGGTGTTCCACAGGGCAAACGGACTGCTGCTGCCTCTGAGCAGCTGCACTCACTGTTCCCCTTCTCCCTGGGGTCTTACCTGTCAGGCACACACGCACCTGCTCCCTCCCAGCCTCCAGGGCTCTGCTCAGACATCACCTCTCGCTGCCAGATGCAGAGACTGTCCCCAGTAGGCCACGGGCTCCTTTCCCTGAGTGATCTTCCCCCACATATATCACCACCAACACGATCTACCATTACTACTTATTTATTTATTTTCATTATCACCCTTGTCTCTTGAAGAACAGCTCCTTTTTTAAAAAAAAAAAATTTATTTTATTTTATTTATTCGTTCTTTTTTTTTTTTTCTTCTTCTTCATTTTGACCAGAGTGAGACAGAGAGAGAGAGAGAGAAAGTAAGAAAGCAAGCCACCAGGTCTGGGACTCTAACCATGGTTGGCCATGTGGGAGTGTCCAGTGCCTTAGCCAGCACGCCACCTGCTGGTCCTGAAGAACAGCTTCTTGAGGACAGAGATTTTGGAGGCTGTGTTTCCTGAGGCCCCCCTGGCACCTAGGACAGTGCTGGCAATATGAGGTGTTAAGTAGTAGTCACCAATGTCATCTCTAAGTAAGAGAATGAATGCAATTCAGAATCCCACAGAACTGCGCACAAACACAGAGAACCGGGCGACATTCACATGGGCAGGAAGGATGGGCAGGAGCCTCTGGGCCTGGTGAGACCTCGCCTGATGCGGCGAATGGGAGGGACCTGGGAGGAGCGTCCTGCAGGAGGCAGGCCTGGCGAGACCTTCCAGGCCCTGGTACCTCACTCCCCAGCAATGGAGGGGACACCTGGCTGTCCGGCTGTGCAAGACTGACTGAGGATGGCGTGTGAAAGCACAGTCAGGAGCCCGAGCTGGGGAGATGGCAGCAGGAGGTGAGGTAGATTCCTGGACCCAGTGAAGAGGTGAAGGCACCGGCATTACTCAGATGGGAGCACCCAGATGAGCCATGCTGAGGAGGAAGAAGGGTTGAGAGTTAGTGACCTAGGGGATCTGGAGAGGGAGGGGAGTCATGGTGGAGAACCGTGCCATCTGGGCCTGGGTTTAGAGTTGGGGCCACCAGGTCATAAGGGCATGGGAAGTCAAGGAGGACTGGGTTTAGGGAGGAATATGGCAGCTCAGATTTGGTCATACTGCATGGAACAATTCTGGGAGCCTACCTGGGGGAGGTGTCCAGTGGGATTTTGGATGATGACACTGCCCACATCACTCACCTGAGAGGTTAATCCACAGCAGTGTTTACGTACTCCACGTCCACGGCTGGCTTGGCTGGTCCCACGCACACCTCCTTCCTGTGGGACTTCACTCTGAGAGAGACCAGGGCCTTTCAGTGTGGCCAGATTAGGGGCCAGGTGGCAGCAGACTCCCTCCCCTGTGCCCTGTGAGATGCTGGAGGAGGTCTGAGGAGGAGCAGCAGGGCTAGCCCTCAGGGCCTCCTTGAGGAGAGCAGGTACCTTCCCACCCGTACATCCAGCCAGTTAGGGACAGACCACACTGGCCGAGTGCAAGCCTCACCCTGACTCAGCCCTGCCTGCCCCAGGCCCTCTGCAAGCTCTCAGGTCCCCCCCACTCTGAGGCTCGGGGACTCAGCCTCAGCCCCATCCTCCCCGTCTCCCCTCATCCCTGCACAGTGCTCACCTGAGGAAGATGAGGAGGAGGCAGAGAAGCAGGACCTTGACAGCCGCCTCCCCGAGGGCCACCAGAAGTACCTCTGCCATGGGCCCTGAGGTCCCTGCGGAAAGTGGGACGAGGTGGATCCACCTGCCGGGCCACCCCCTGGTCCTTTGTCTCCCAAGAAGTGGACACTGATTCTTCAGACCCTGCCCACATCCCCAGACGTGGGACCACATCAGCCAAGCCTCCCCCTGCTCCCTGCCTTGACCGTCTGGCGGTTGGACAGAGAGAACTTGTAAGCTGGGCTCATCAAAATGAAGCCTTCTGTTTGTCAGGCCCAGCAGGTGGGATGGCGGTCATGTGACTTCCACACAGCCGACGCTTGAAGCTCACGCCGGGTGCGTGTGCCTGCGTGCCCAAAATCCTGAGAGAAGGGACTGCAGCGTGGCCCCCCCCCCCCCGGGAGTGATTTCTGGCAAGTGCACACACTACAGCAAAATTCTACTAAAAAGAAAAGGACTGTTTGAGAATTGATGCTTTCAAGAAAGTGAGAGACAATGCACAAAATGGGAGAAAATATTTCCAAATCATAGCCCTACTAAGGGTCTAGTTTTTAACGTCTATAAAGTATTATTGCAACTCAAATTACAACCTTTAAAAAAAATTGCCAGAGGGCTCGTGCACTCACCAGAGAGAGTGACAGACAGACAGAGGGAAAGCCACAATCCCAGCTCCTCCGTTTCTCCTTTGGGGATTTTGGGCACCCACGCACATGTGCTGATGTGTATTTCAAGCTGTTAGGTCTGGGATTTGAACCATGCAGTCAGCCATGTGGGATCCAGGCCGCTTAACCATACCAGCAGCTGATTCCAAACAATCCCATTTAAAAATGGGCAAAGGATGGGACCAGCAGTTGACTTAATGGCTATGTCGCCAGATTCCCAAGTAGTCGACCACAGTTCGAGTCCCGGACCCGGTGGCTTAAACTCACACCAGGCGCGTGTGCGTGCGTGCCCAGGATCCCGAGAGGAGAATGGAGGAGAAGGGATTGCGGCGTGGCCTT